GAAAACTATAAAAACACCAACACTAACTGAAACATCCTTGGATGTCTGTTGTCATGGTCTATAACAAGACACATTTACAGTCGCAGCCATTGCCACAACAAGACCGCATCAAAAATATCTAATTTAATTAAGCATATTTAAAGTTTGGAAAACACAAATCAACATCGGCCCTGTTCTTTTTTCTGCCGCCTGCATCTTGAGATGAAAAGCATCGGCGTGGGTGATTTGAGCTATATGGTGGCAGCCATGCAGCCACAACAAGCCAGAGCCTCTGGTGCATGAATGGTCGGCCAGTCTGAATGAACAGAAGCATTCTCCAGTGTTACCTAGCAACAGGGAGACTGGGTGCCTCTGACACACGGATAAAGATGGATGCTTTGTATTTTCCTCCATGCTCAGTTAGGAGGCAGAGGGGGAGTGAAAAGAAGGGACAAGAATGAACGGTGACATGCAGGGGGCATGAAGGAAGGTGTAAGGAGAGGGCGAGCGAAGGAAACAACAAAAAGGCCGGTATACCACACGGGGCTGGAATAGGGAGGAAAGGCTCCTTTTCCGCTCCCTAAGCCGGTCTAACGTGTTATCAGGGAAAACATAGATTCTCTGTGAGGTTAACAGCCTTCACTGGACATCCCCTCAAAGGAGAACATTTAGACTGTGCTACAATGCAGGACAGACTATTAGAAGGACACAATCTGAGAAATATGCCTGGTGCCTGGAGATGATCATTATCTCACGCCTTCAGTACAGAGATTCAGGGGGTGTCTCACCAATAAGTGAAACACACAAAGCTTTGGGGAAACAGTGAGCTCAGCTTGGATTTTTATCACTTTTTTTTCTACAGTTGTAGTAGTTTCTTGAATGTGACGTTGTCATATTAAGTAGTTATTAGATACTGAATCAGTTTAAACAACAACAACGACAGCAGCAAAGCCAAAACTCTGCGGCACATCAGGGGTTCTGTCCTGCGGAGTGGCCCACATCGAATGATGTTGTTAATCCGAAAAGAAACCCTGGTGGGTCTTGTGCGTACTGGTAGCCAGACTGCAGGCTGACACGATACTACAACACAATCATGAAGTTGCTGGAAGGTGATTCTCTTCAGAAGCCCCGTGCTTCAAAGCATTTCTTCCACATACAAGTTGTTCCTTTCAGAGCTCAATTCACATCACGTCCTGTAGCAGCTGATACACTATTCTAAGGTCTTTACTGTTCTAATAGTCGTGTTAGGAAAAGGAAAAAGGACACGTTCCAATGTAGTTTTCCCAAACACAGCTCTTTGTAAAAATAATCTGCACTGTACTATGTGCATAAAACACTTACAGGAATATAAAACCCACCACAGAGGTTGTGGAATCAGGTATCTTAAACATTTGAGCTCATTTTAAAACAAACATAGCGTGGCCCAGACACCACCAGAAGGCAGGTCAGTTAAATAAATACGATAAATACTTTTCTAAGTGAATAGGCAACAACTCAATCTCTGTGGCAACAGTAAAAACTACTGTTTATAATATGTGTGGAATGGGGACAATTGCACCGCCATCTGGTTCACTTTAGTGAAAAACATTCATTCAGAAAAAGATTAAACACTCTTTTGAAAAAAAAATGGTTACGCTAGGGACCGCAGCTTTTGTTGTTATAAGTATAATTCAGTTAGTAATTTAAGTACTCTCAGACCTACTGTGCACCATAAAGGTCTGTCACAAGCCTGAACATTCAAATGTATAATACACCTACCAAGTACTAGCATGTGTCATTTGCTTGGCATGTTTATTACCTAATTACTCCCTTTTGGCCTGTGGCAGCTTGAAAAAGACCCGTTAAACGTTCTTTTTCCATGATGGATTAAAAAAAATATATTAAATTCGCTCGAGCCTCAAGATGAGAAGAAAAAGCCTGCAGTCTCACCAGGTAGACATGTTCCTTATCCTGGAAGGCGTAGAGAAGTTGAGGGATCCACGGACTGCTGTTCAGACCCAAGATCCTCCGCTCCTCCTCGTGAAAAACCACCTGAGCAGAGTCAAAAAGGCCATCAGTATAAAGGCAATAGCACTGCTGCACAAATATGTTGTTCTGAGAAGTGTGTTAATCACATAAACCTGCACGTCTGAAAAACTTCAGCAAAAGCTACCACTTTTAAGGTTTAATGAGGGTTTACATGTAACATAAACTGTGGCGAGAATCACACATTTTAACACCAAGAGTTCACACTTTTTGTTCCTAGCTTCAATTATTGGAAGTTTTTTAATTGGAAAGTCACTGGTGGCTTGAAAAGAGATTTCTTTATTTGATGTATTGCTCATTTCAGATCTCTTCCTATCACCACTAGTGTCATGTCACATTCTGACTAAGATCTACTCCATTAGTCACATGACACAGAGCCCAGCTGTGAGATAATGTACCCACATTGTGTTATGTTGTTCTCAACCCTACAGCAGCCTCCAGTGGGCATTTTTCAGACTACAAATTTTGACAACAAAGCACAGAGAAGCTCAGATTAAAACAAATGCAGGGAGAACGACTTAATTCTCTGCTCAGACGCTGCATCTTTACACAGCAAACAATCTTTGCAGCTATAATAATGCTCTGATTATCATAAACTGCAAATCTTTAATTATCGTTTAGAATCCCTGAACTGGTTACCTTTTGACACTGGTTGAAAGACACAAAGAGCCATTACATTACATGTCATATAGCGGACGCTTTTATCCAAAGCGACTTACAGTAAGTGCATTTTAACCATAAGGATACAAACTCAGAAGAGCAAGAAACAACAAAGTGCAATTTAATCAAATAAGCCAATTTACAACTTGTTAAAGATAAGTGACACTAGAAGTATAATTTGTTAGCGTTTTTAGTCAAGGCCCCGTTAGTAACAACATTAACTACGGCGACGTGTCTCAATAAGACATGAAAGTATGACGGCACAACTCTGAATCCTTCAAACTAGAACAACTCAAAAGGAGTTCATTAAATATCATTGGTATAAAATGCCCATTATGTGACATAGCCAAATGCTTCATGTAAAAAATAAGAGAAACATTTCTATTTTGAAATTTCAATACTTTACTGCTCAGTTACTCACATTTCCTTGAGAGCGTAAAACTTCCTTATCCATGACCTTTAGTGCACAAACATCCCCAGTGGCCTTCTCGCGGACTACTTGGACTTCGCCGTAGCGGCCACGACCCACCACCGCCCGCAGTTCAAAGTCATCAGCGCCCGGCTGCATCGCCCGCAGTTCTGAGACCACTTCGGAAACTGTTTCACAAACATACACAAACGCACCGAGTTTTTTCACACACTGTTTCTCCAAAGCAACATGTAAACTTAGTACATACATACCACAAACAAGCAAACAGAATCTAATGAAATACACTGTTACACACACATACACTTTACACTTTACACATACACGTTTTTTTTTTAATCCATCTGGAGTGTATTTAAAATAACAACAATATTGTTTAATGGTCTGTACTCACTAATTGTGACACGTACATTTTAATGAGCTCTTTTGAGGATGTCACCAAAACATCTGACTAGAAACGGTATTAAATGCAAAAGCAGAAAGTGTACATGTTTGAAGATAAACTAACGACCTTAAATCAAGTGATCAATGCAGGCTGTACTAAGGCATGGGATTGGAAAATATTAGATAGGCCTAAACAAACAAATCAATCCCACAAACATGTCAACTGTATCCTCACACTTATGGACAAAATGTGCCACATGGTGGATCTTCATCAGCTCCGGGGAGACGCACTCCTCGTAGAGAAGCAGCAGAGCCTCCAGGAACTCCTCCCGGCCTAAGCTGCACTCTCCCCGCTGCCCGCTCAGGCTGACGCGACCCTGCGGGACAGCACGCAGGAAACGGAAGTCAGCTTCTTGACACATTTGGGGAGACTCGCTTCATGCGGCACAAGGTGACGCATAATACACGAGGAATTGCGTCAGGACGTGAGAGATCTCACCTGAAACACTTGGTTGAGTCGCGAGCTGCGGATGGTGAGGGGGTCCGCGGAGGACGGCAGCGTCGTCATGCTTCCCTGATTCACGTATTTAAACTTCAACATGGCTTCGTAACAACAGATAGCCTGGGCAAGGGACAAAGGAGTAGGTCGAAGTGGAAATAAGTAACTTAACGTGTGAGAGTTAAGTGGTTAAAGGTATGGAAAGCTGTCAGGAACCGTCCAAAGCGCGTCCGTTTAGCGTGCTAAGTTAACGTTAGCTAACTTCGTTAACCAACGAGGACGTTGACGCAGCTTCATTGCCGTTCAGTTACATTGACAGAGACTTAGCGGTACACTGGTTCAAGGTTACTTACCGAACTGCCATGCAATAAATTATAATGTAGCTTCTAATATAACGTTACACAGCAACACAGGAACCGACATGCTAGTAGCACACTGTTTTCATCGACAGTTTCCGGTAAACTTTCAAACTTCGCGCGTTCGCCGCCTCCCTCTCGAGCGTGGATAATGAGGGTGGCGTGTGATTGGATCCCTGGAATATTCTGGGCGGGTCCTGCTGCTGATCTAAACCAATGACTGATGTTTTGGACACATCCCTCCTTAACGTGACAAAGATGAATAGGGAGGATTTTTATGTAATGTACATGAACAGAACATGAATTACCTGTTTAACTGTTTGAATTGGAGCGAAATAATTAGGTTGAGTAAGATTAATAATTTCACAGATAGGGTTACTCCAAATGTCTAATTGGTTTTATATTGTAGCTAATGAATCTGGTCTATTTGTTGGGACACATGTAAATGGTTTTACAGGGAGATTAAAACGTAGCCTCTTTGCTGATTCATAATTCAGACCTGCCATCTTCCCTTTTTACAAACTCAATGAAATATAACAGATTTGTCATAAATATATTTTAAAAACAATCAAACAGGCTCCACAGACAAAGAATCATCACACGTCTGTGAATCAAACCCATCCCCTGTATTCATTTTATAATAACAAATAACTTCAGTGCCAAAACAAAATCAGTGCCAAAACCTTTTATTTTCAACACATGTTTCATTTTTTGTCAGTCAAAGTTTTTCAAAATTTCAGGGTCAAATATTCTATACTAACAGTTTGCGTAGTGAAGAGACCGGGGCCTTTAGCCTGCCCCAGGAGGTGCTGGTGTTAATGTTATGGTTGAGTTTTGGATTTGGGGTTGGGAGCAGGGTTAGGATTGGGAGTAGGTTTGGGATTGGGAGTTGGGTTGGGAGCTGGGTTGGGAGCGGGATTGGGATTGGGATTGGGAGGTGTAGGGGCGGGGGCAATATAGCACCCTCTCTTGTGCCACTGCATGTCCCGCACACGTCGGACGGACTGGATCTGAGGTGCAGTGGCTCCCCAATCGTTCCAGTGCTTGAACTCTCCATGCTCAAACACATACTGGCTTCCTCTGTAGCCTGGATACATGTATCCTACCCACCTTCAGGGGGCGGAGAAAGAGCAGTATGTTACATTATCTTCAAAAATGTTACTTAAAAAAGCAAAACAATTTCGTTAATTGTAAAAAAAAGAAGGTTTAGCACTTGAAAGGGTACATCTTACGTTCCACTGATAGCCTTGGCACTGGCCACGCGGTCTTGGAAACCATAAGCCCAGAGACTGGGGACGTCATCATCAACAATCTCCATCTTTCTATTTTCAAAGCCTGCATTTTCAAACAGGTGCAGCTTGTGATCTGCACTGTCCTGGAGGGGAACAACGTAGGTTTGAGCATGTTTGTCAGGATGTTACATCTGCTCATATTGCACTGACAGCACTGACCACTTTCAGGGGCCTGAATGAGCTCAGGCTGTAGATACTCAGGCAGTTGGTCCAGGTGCTCCAACGAGGATACTCTCCTTTCTCCAGCACAAACTGCTCTCCTGCAAAACCCGGACGCTCAAACCCCACCCACCTGAAGGAAAAATGAAAAAAAAGCATTATGTAGGAATACACACAGTAGCCTTAAACAAGGGCAACAACTAGAAAACAGTATGTAAATGTAGTAAAATATCAATTTGAAACTTGATAGAGCAAAACTTTATCACTCACGGTCCAGACTCCACAATGACCGAGCCAATTTTCTGCGTCTTCTCCAACACATCTTTGCATTCACTGGACAGCTCCAACTTCTTTCCACGAAAGTTCTCAAACTCAAAAACCGCCAACTGCAAAACAGGTGGAGAGTTGGACGATGTGTGCACAACTGCACCATCTGCATCAATCCGATGCATGATTTTCTATCTTTTAAACATATGTAGTAATTTGCTAAATGTTCAAGGTTTTTGTTCCATTCGCTACCTTGTACGTGGCTCCGGCCCCTCCTTGGCCCTTGTCTGCAGGCAGCTGGTCTGGGTTCCCTTGCTGGTCTGTCATTTTGCTTCTACAAAGCACAGCAGTAACAATGTTTAATGCTAAAGTACTGACGGATAACATTTAGTTACATTCATAGAGAAAAGTGGTGACATTTTAAACTTTAAAACTGGATGACAGGTACCATTTATCAGACCTGGATCTATAAATTCTAATCAAAGACATGTTTACTTACTTATCTCAGATCCTACTTGCGTCTGTTGTATAAATTATTTAAGAATAGTAAGTTAGTAGTGCACACACCAGATGCTATCTAAGATTCATTTGCGGGAAAAGGAGAGAGAAAAAGAGAAACGCAAGAGAGGGAGGAAGCTTCTTTTTTACCTGGATGGCTTGTGCTTCACTGCACCACGTAAATGCCACGCTCTCAGTCTTTCCTTTTTCTTTTCTCTGTTTCTTGTCCGTCTCGGTGTTGAGGGTGCGGGTGACTGTGGAGGCCGGGCGAGCGATCGTTGGAGGCCAGCGGGGGTATTTATGGTTTATTTCTGGCCACAGCAGCAAAAAGCCTGTTGATGCAGCAAGTCTGTCTCACCCATTGTGTCCATCACACTGCTTCTCAATAGGCTTGCCCCTCTGTCCCTGGCACACTGGCACACGCTGCCCTGCTCTGCCCATGCTGCCATCCTGACCATGATCCCATAGTGGGCACACGCACTGACTGCGAGCCAAGAGAATGAACAGAGATCAGGCTCACTCAGCAGTATTGGCCCCACCCAGCTAATTTGCACTCACGTTTCCCCTCTTTTATTTGTTTTTCTGCTTTTCTCTTCATCCGGCTTTCAAAATGTTGCACTCATTAGGGTGGCTTACAATGTGTGAATGAAAATGCCAACATTTACGATATATACACATGCTCCATGCTGCCCACATTTTGAGCTGTGTTGGTAAGCTTCCCATCAAAAACATACGCTCGATTGCATTTCATAGAAAAGTTTTAATAAAATTCCCTCGATTTCCATTTGTCATACAGCATGTTGATTTCACACAATTACAGCATGGATGACAGTGACTTCACATCAAGCATGCACATAAAAACATCAAGTGAAGTAATCTGAGTTAAAGATGTCCCAAAACACTCCCACAAATATGTGCTCAAAATTCCCTCCAAGCTCATTTTTTGGACCAGCTATTGGGCTTTTTCATGAAAAAAACATGATGTACATCTTTAAGTTGTGTGAACCTGGAAAGAGATGACCGATATTCATGGTGTAACAAATATAAAGATTCTCATGACCATGTATATTACAGTTAGGACCTTGATTGATTCTATTGCTTTGTTGTACTGTGTGGATGGTAATTTGTTATATATATATATATATCTTTTTTTTTAAAGTGCTTAAAAGTGTACTTGAGACAATCTGTGATTGAAAAGATGATGTAAAAGGCCTTTTGTCCAATTTAAACTAAACACACTTAACGTGGCATACAGTATTCGTAGTCATCATTTTCTGTACATACATATGTAGATATCCTAATGAAGGCCTAGTGTCGTCAGTCCCTCTCACTATATAATGGACTAAAACATTTAAACAGTAAAACAATCCATGGCTTTGCTCTAAATTACGTTAGTGTCCTCCCCCTCCATTGAGTCTCTGTACAACAGTAGATAAAACATCTACTTGGCATTAACACATCACAGTCTTGGCACAAAGCCGTGGCACCATATTTCATTTACAAGCCAGGAAAGTTCTTGATGGCCCCTACGTTAAGCAGAAAGATCCAAGTTAAGGCACTCAAAGATGAAAATGGAGCAATCACGGCAAAGCGTCTGTCAGCATCAGCAGCTGAGATGGATTGATTCGTGCTGAACAGCAAAGTCACAGTGTCTTCTAAAGGAAACAGAGAGAGAGAAGATGAGTAAAAAGTTTCCAACTCACAGACTACAGGAGGTGTAGAATTTATGTAACATATTTCATCCCAGGACATTTGTTAGTATTCTACACGCATTTGTTTTTCAGCACCAAGTGGCCCTGATATCCATAAACATGTTACATCCACACGTCCTTTCCACTTACTGTCGCTGATGCACATGGAGGAAAGAGCAAAGCACAGCTGCAAGCAGCAATTCCCCGGAGAAGCAGAGCAAACTGCTTTGAGGCCCAATGAGGATGTCTTTACCCATGGTGCAATTTAGATCATGACAGCAGAAGGCTTTTCAAAAATATGTCCCACTTCCTGTTTTGGTCCTCGCTGTCAGTATTTTACACAGTCACATTAAATAACACGCGTTCTTGACAGCAGTGCCGCAAAGTTCAAACTATTCGCTTTATCTTATCGCAAACCTCTTCAGATGTCTTGCATAATGACTCTCAAACAGTAATTCAGGGTATAATTCACATGTCAAAAATGTCTAAATGTTCTTGCTCAACTATGGCTGATCCTTTTAAGTTCAATATGTCAAACCATTTGTCGGTTATGTATGCTCTAATGGGTTTGTTGTTAACCCAAATATCCGAATTTTGTTGTTAAAATAGAAAAGTCACCCAAAACATAATGTGCCGATTGGATTATCTTTGTATGAGAATAAGCTAAAAATGGCTATAGGACAGTATTGGAAACTAGAAACTAGAAAACAAGAAAGAAAGAAATATTCTCATCACATCCGTATTGCTGACCTGCGTCTGGCTAAGTCCCGCTGTCGTACTGACTGAGGCGCTTCTTAGACTTCAGTTCTTTCAGCCAAGCTGGAGAGGAGACGGGCCTGAACGACACACAGAATCAGAGGAGCCTCACGATTAAAACACGGCCGCATATTTTTGGAAGTGCGCTGTCACGCTATTTTTCTCACCCTTGGTCCGCGGCGCCTATGGGAGGCAGCACTCGAGCAGCCCCCGCCAGATGAGCGGCAGAGCGAGAAGAGCGGGGCAGTTGTGAGGGAGATGGTGCCACTTCCTCCTTTCGACTTTCCTTCACCCCCCGTCCCTTGTCTTCTTCTGCCTCTTCTCCTCCTCTAGTTCTTCCTCCACTTGTCCTCTTTTTTAACTGAGCCTTGGGGAGAAAGTTAAGGATTTTTTACTTACACATGCCAACCACCGTGTTATGCATCATGCTATATATTATGAAACGGACCATTCCAGTAAGCTCATCTTAAACTTACTATTAAGGCTGCAGGGTTCAAACCTGGAAACATGGGGACTCTCTGAGAGGTGGTAGGAGGAGGAGAACAGACTATTTTCGGTTTAGGCTGCTCCTCCTCAGAGTCTAGATCCCTTTGCTTAGAAGATACCTCCTTTTCATCTGAAAACAGAGAGAAAGTAGACGTAACGTCCAGTCAGAACATGCAGTAAAATCACATTTGCAGACCCCTTTTAGCCTGGAGTGGAGAGTCTTGATTGCTCCAATGCTCATTCATTCTGAAAGTTTAGATGACATTATGGATGGAGCAGTAACCTGTGGAGTCGTCAATCTTCCAGTCCCTGCTTTCCAAATGAGCAAAACCGCCATGCAGCGAGCGTGACGGACGTGTCCGATTTCGTTTTCTTCCCAGTTCGGCTTTTGATTTCTGTGCGCTGGTGTTGAGGAGATCGGTGGAGCTCTGCGCACAAACATAAACATAAAATCTAGCAAGCAATGAACAGAAAGCACACTAAATCCCCGGGTGTATGTGTTTTTCCTGGTAGGATGGCAAATGAGCAACAAAACTACGTGTTCATTTTTGCAGTGTAGAGTTTGTGTCCCCGTTACGGAAAGATAGAAGAATCAGAAATAAAGAATCACCAACCTCAGGGAATGGAGCGTACTCAGGCTCCCTGTTAAAATCAGTGGTATCAAGGTCCTCAGAGACTTCAGGAACCTGGTCAGGGACGAGCTTTGGGCTGAAGAGAAACAAGCTCAATCAAAATCATGTGTGGGCACATAATCAAATTATCACTAGAAAGTAGATTGTTGGGATGCTTTCAGTTGAAGTTTTGGAGTTTTCTTGGTTCACTTTTTGACTTCCTGTGTCGTGCTCTATTTGCCACAAGGGGGCACAGAGAGCTCAGCTCTTTCATATTCGGGTGTGCAGCTACACTGTCATAGGGTTTATAAAGCAGAACTTGCTAATTGCATGTCTCCCCATAATGTATATTTAGGTTTCACAATTGGCTGCACTACATAACCCGCTGATTATTCTCCAAACCCCAACTGCACTTTTAAAGCTACTCACTTTAAGACCTAGATACAGAACAGAGTTTCTGTTTGCAGGTGTGCTCACTTTGAATAAAATGTGAAGCCACTCCTTTTGCACAAGACACAAACATGTCCGGTCCTGTCTGTCTCCCATTAGTATATATGAAGAACATGAAGCCACTGAAAGATACAGTGTGCAGTTCAAAGCATGTAAGTGTGTGCGTGTGTGTGTGTGTTTGGGTGTGTATTGTTTCCTACCTGTCTGTTTCAGATGTCTGTTCACCAGCCCCATTCTGCTCGTCTGGCTCATTGTCTATCAAAGCATCAGTGTCCTCGCTGTTTGTGCTATAACTGTTAACTGGTGCCTGAGACGGGGAAAGAAAGACATTCAAATTAAATGTGACAAACAAAACCAGAAAACATATCATGCCTCGAAACCAGAGGAAAACTCCAGATCACCATTCACTGCTTCATCACACAACAGCCAACACTGTTGTCCTGTAAATCTGCACATTGGAACCTCACACCGCCGAGCCGAGGCAGAGAGAGGCCGTTCCGTGTGCTGAGCCAAGGTCAGTGACTACAGAGGGCGAGAGGACTGAGGCCCAGCCGAGCATGCATCTTTTAATGAGCCGGTCACAGAGGCTGGACTGTGCTCAACAAACACCACGAGCACTCGCATACACACCTGTATGCCCACACGGACACACCAAACCCTCTCGTGCTGTCACGCCCACATGCTGGAATGCGTGGGCGCTCACTCTGTGTCTCACGCCCACACAAACAGATACACACACACACACACCTTCGAAACAAAAGCCACTACTGTGTACGTCCATGCAAACATTCCTGTCTTATCAAGGAGCATCCTGCTGTTGTGTCGTCTGATATTGTCACCTGGATACAAAACAACACTGGCGTAAACACCTCAGGGCCCGTATGACTTCACCTCTCCTGCATAAGTCAATTTATTACTCCACGTCATTCGCACAATGCCTGTTATCTGGCAGCCTCCCAGCATGGATGAATATGCTTCTGTTTTTTTTCCTCTAACCACAGACTGTGGATGCAGAGACAAACAAAGTGCGCTTAAACACAGAGGTGCAATTCCACCAACATGCATTTATTCTGAATCTGGCACCCCTTCACAGCAGAACTTTTTAAACCACATCATCTTTCAGCAAGTCACGTGGCTTGAAAACTTTCATTTTACACTCACGCTTCTTGTGGCTTTTAAGGGATTTTTTTATTCATTTAATATATGTTTCCTTTTTTGGCAGTGGTCTGGGTACAGAATACAACAATGGCCACGTGGATCTCAGCTGCACCTCTTTTTTGTGAGGCTTTCCTCAAGTCATGTGTGAGAAATGCAAAATATTACTCTGCCACAGAGAAATTTCTTCCTTTATTTTGAGTAAAACTTGGAGGCAATGGGAGAGACTTTATGGTATTCAGGGATATGATGAATAATTATTATGAATTCAATCATTTACCAGGTTGAATTCTTGAAGACGCTGCCCACTAATTCAGCCAAATCACAACCCAACCCAAGTCCTTTTAAACGACGTGTTAGCATGTGTTTATTTAGAGTCATATCTCACCTGGCAAATTACAGATCAATAATTTCTCTCTTTTAAATTAAAGACTTATTTTTAATTATTATTATTTTTTGGTGCCCTATACAGAGATTTTGTTCCTTATTTTATAATTATTGTAAAAGGACCCACACAACAACAACCTCTACGTTCAGATATTAGAAACAGATAAAACTACAACTCCAAACTGCAATAAACTTGTGTCAGTGAGAATGTTCCAGAATGCCTTTGAGGGCGGAGGACGTACAAGTCAAGACAGAGTGGGCTTTATTATAGTTTACCTCTGAAAGATTTTTGTCAACTTTGATGCAATGTGTAACACAGCTCGTTTGTGGTGCAGTGGAGGAGGTAACATCTAAAGACGCCACAACTAACCAAGACTCTGTTACCGAATAACAGATGACTGTTAACAACAAATCCCCTCTGATAAAGGAAAGTGATGATAAAGTGACGTCAAATTAAAAGTGAATATAGCCTGAAGGACGTTTTTGCCTTTTGGTCTTTGTGGCTGAAATCCACTTCTACAAACACATACACACAAACCCATAGACACACACGCACACACACCCGCATACTCACACTTACGTGCAGCCAGCAGCCAGAAGCGTCAGTAAACACAACAAAACTACCAAGACAGACTTCAGCTTGTATATGTCTCAAGTCCCCCACTGCTGATGGCAACAGGACACATATTTGTTTGTTTTTTTGAATCTCATAAGGAGATGCTAATGAGAAATACAGCAAATAGCTGCAGTGCTAATTTGGCAGAAATTTTCTCTAGACCGTTACAACATGTTAAATTTTTATAATATTTGTGCTTCATTTTGACGAACCAATATTATAAAATGTAAATAAACATGTGTACTGGGGTATAGTGCTACATCCAAAAATATCCCTGAATTATTCTTATTGAAACGATTATATTAAAATTGAATTATTATTCATTATCAGTATTATGTAAGGGCGGCATGGTGGCCTGGTGGTCAGCACTGTCGCCTCACAGCAAGAAGGTCCTGGGTTCGACTCTGCCCAGTGGCCTTTCTGTGTGGACTGTCTGCGTGCGTTCTCTCCGGGTACTCCGGCTCCCTCCCAGAGTCCAAAGACATGCTCTGGGGATCAGGTTAATTGGGGACTTTAAATTGCCCGTAGGTGTTTGAATGTGAGTGTGAATGGTTGTGTGTCTCTGTGTAGCCCTGCGATTGGCTGGCGAGCAGTCCAGGGTGAACCCCGTCTACCCCGTCTATCGCCCAAAGTTGGCTGGGATAGACTCCAGCGACCATGTGTGCAGGGTAAGTGGTTTGACAATAGATGGATGAAGTATTATGTAAGTAAAATGTTTATAATGCAAATGTATCTATTTTATTATGCTCTAATATAATATTAAATATAGGTGAAATTCTCAACATAATAAACTAGAGGTTGACACAGACATACTTGCATAAACCCTGTCTTCTTCTGTCTCCTTTATCTCTGACACACACCCCGGACAAGGGAATGCATGTCTGCTGATAAAACACGGCATTTGGACAACTTTATCAGATAACTGTGTCCTTGCTGTAACACTGCCTACACTGCAATCCCTTTTCACATTTGCATGGTTATCTGTTAACACACAGGTGGGGGATTCTTACAGCGAGGGACAAGGAGCGTTGGTGCAGCTTTGGCCCTAAAAGCTGCTATGTTCTTCTATCATTGCACCTACCGTCATTTAAAATGAGCTATTCATTTGAAATCGGATTGTCCTTTAAAATTGAATTATCATTCATTTCTGCTGGTTCACCACATTGGCTCTTACGCAGCAAGGCTCGGCGGCTCTCCTCCGCAGATTCTGCCGACTTCTGACGGAGAAGCGCCGGAGGGATCTCCTGCTACGTCGGGCAAAACCACGAAGCGGAGACATGGTTCTCTGAAACCTTCCTCCTCCATCTCCACCTTCTTCTTCCTCCTCCTCCTCTTCCTCCACCGGCTTCTCTTCTGCGTTGCCCAATATCAGCTCCAGTGCCCCTTGCAAGGAGCGTCGCACGCCCCCCACCCAACCCGCCACCTGGAGCTGGGCGGCCGACAGCTTCCCTCCAAAGTACTGCATGGTTTAAAAGCTCCAGCTGCTCGTCCGGGCACTGGGGGTCACCATGGGAAACGGGCCACTGTGGAAACTGAGGGTGAGCGTTGGTAGAGAAGAAGGTAATGTCTGCGATCTGCCTTTCAGTTGTGATTTCCAACTAGCAGAAAGGGAAGAGAGCACTAGTTGTATTTGGTGAAAAAGGTTTCGGGCGTCATACAACCGCAGATTTAGTCCGTCTTTCATTGGAGCACGATCCATCCTCCATCTCCATATTTCTATGGTTCAGGTCCCACAAACGTCCTGGAACAGTCTACTCTTTACTGTCAGTGAAGAAGCAGATCGACTGACTAGCCATGTGTTTACTGTGACAACACTATTCCACTGGAGCATTCACTATGATGGATGTGACGTCCTGAACTGCAGCGTCCTGAAGAAAGACTTTCCTCATCATCACATAATGATCCATTCAAAAATACACAGAGAAAAAAAGATCCCTTGGCAGTAACAAAAATAGCAATGAAGCTGTTAGTCCTGCACACAACAGTTTTTAAAGATTACCTCTTTTCATGTGCACCTCCTCTCTCTCCTTGGATGAGTCGATCTATCTACGATCCCAGATCACATCACAACTCCATTTTCCATTCAGCAAAAAAGAGAAGATAAGCAGCGTAGGAGATAACTGGCATCTCAACCATCTGAAGCCAGGTAGAAAGAGGTTGATCACCCCTCCACACCTGCTCTCACACAACTTCACAACAAAGCAGAGGTCTGTGCTCGGATGTGGAAAATCCCAGGGGCTGGAAGGTGCGGTCGGCTGGGCCTGGGTGCTTTCTGCACCTCCCTCTGCTGCTCCCTCTCCCCGTAGGTAAATGATGCAGGTAACTCAATGAGTCAGGCCTTTGTGAGAGGAGTAGGCAGAGAGAACAACAGAAAACAGCGAGACTTTTGGAGAGTTCAGAGGCAGTTGGAGCGCTAGAGGAGCGAGAGAATGTGAACTCTTCTTGTGCCTGGTTTTGCCCATCCTCCTTTGAGTGTATGTGCAGACAGAGAGTCTGTGTGTGTGTGTGTGTGTGTGTAACGGGGGGGGGGGGGGGGGTGAAGGGAACTCCCAAAACAGGGTGGAGAGACTGAGTAGACGGACAGAGACAGAGAAAGAGGGGCACCATGTATGGTCATTCTGACCCGCTGCCCTGCTGACCAGATCTAAATGAGGACACGATAACCACATAGCAGCTTGTCTCTTCTCACTGGAACATATATCTGTCTGTCTGCCTGTCTTCAAGTCAGTAACCTGGATGAGGGTACAGTAAACTCTCACTCTGTCCTTATAGAGTAACATCTGTTCCATGCCACACAACAGCATCTCTGATGTTGAGGTTTTACTTGCTGCATACACATTTAGATTGTATTGAACTTTACTGTGTAGTAGTATTATAGTGGTGAAATGTGATCTACATGATATAACTTGATGGTATCGGTGCTGCAGAAAAAGGAAGTGCCCTTTTTAAGAGCAGCAGTGCCACTCAGTGGAGACAACAGGGCTGCACTCTCAGCTCGTCCTCCAAAGCTTCCATACCAACGACCTTACAGCAGCTCTGCGAGCACAATGCTTCCTTACACTAGCTCACTGGTTTTGTGAACTGGTTGGTTTACTTAAGCACACACAGCAAATAGAAAGACGATATCACAAAAATACATGTACAAACACACACTCACACACACACACAACCACACAGCAAGTTCAGCGTTGCAGAGTTTTGTGTTTTGATGAAGTTTGCAAAAATGTTGCATGTTCAAACTGGTGGTGAAGCGCTCTGACTCGACTGGGACGCCCGTCAGGTGTTCATTCACTCTGATGAACAATGATAAGGTGCCGCAACCAAGTCTTGCCCAGTTTCGCCTAATTTTCTTTTGTATGATGTGAGTTTGCTCATCTTGTTAGATAATATGCTTGACCTTTGAATTGTGTTTTTGGGGTTGTGATAGGCCTGCAATTTTCACTTTCATCTGTAATTCTGTTGTTTACAACAAGGCTAACACTTCTACAGTGACTAAAGTTGCCAGCGAAATGAGCTTACTATCACATTAACACTACTTCTTACTTCTTACTGGCAGTACAGCGATGACGGGTATTTTATGGGTGCACACAGAATTTGCTCAAACATGGTTGGTTGGCTTCTTTGAGTGCGACTCAGCTGAAGCAGAACACAGTCTGAAGCAGCATCATGTTATCCATATAGTAAGCACAGCAGCAAAAATAAAACACTATAATTCACTCATTTGTAAAATAAAAGTTTTCAGATTCTTCCTCACATCTCTACAGACGTAAAACAAATGACAATTGGACACAAGCTACAAATGAATACCCTTAATTATAAATTGAGAGGGGGTTAAATTGATTTTACTAGTCAGAATTAGAAAGTTTAGAAAACAGACTAATTGTTTGTCATTTTGTAACAAGTTTATATTATATTCCAAAATTGGCGTAATGTTCTTCAATTAACACAAAAAGTGAAATTTATAATTTTATAATTATAATTTATAATTTATAATAATATTAAAATGCCTCCTTATCATATGTAACTGTAGAGATGGGAGAGGCTGACTTACTGTATTACTACTCCAAACATAGATCTAACATCTGATAGGTGGAAACCTCTCACTTTGTAATTCATGTTAAACCACCAACACTTGTGTTAGGTAACACAAACTATATTCTGCAAAAACTCACCCATAGCAACTGGAAATAGTCCACCCAAGAGGCCCGTGTGAACGAATCTATCCCCTTTTCACATGCATGTGAATAAAGATCTATTTTCTATTTTAAAATGCCTAAGACTTTGAAGATAAACGCACAATTAACAGCAAAAAGAAAGCATATGACTATTGCAAGATGTAGAGGAAGTTGTAACCTCACTTCCTGTAAGGACTTATTTCTGTCATAACCACACATGTACATTTCGTGCACCACTAGAAATGAATTTCATTCAGTTTGATGTATTATTACAGTTGACTGACTTTTTTACCACCAACATATCGTCTATCGTAATTTAAGTGCAAAGAATCACACAGATTTTAAGTTTTTCATCTTTCTCCGAGAGTATTAGTGTGTTTTATTTGAATTTGAATGGATAAGATCACGCTGTCAACAAGGGCCGATACTACTACTGACACATGAGCCATAGATGTATCTTTGCTGTCTCATTGCTCAATGTCACGCCTACACGAAAACACACGTTCTTAAGCTGTGACTGAAACATTGTGAAGCGAGAATATCGAGAGGTCTTTCCTGGTGCAACAGGAATGGCGATGCTGGTGAATGCGTGCGGCTGCCAGGATTGTATGATTCAGTGGCGAAACAACCACATTTACTTGTACACTCCTGTTTCTGTACTAAGCCCCACCCTGTGTGAGACGTTAAAACATGTGGGGTGGTGCTCACAACGGAGTCTATCAAGAGCGCGTTCCAAGAGGTTCCAATACGACTTTTCAAGTCCTAATCGATATCTGGGTATCGCTTGATACGGAATGCCAATCGGATCCTAGTGTTAAATTAATACGGTGTGTTTCTCACTGTGTGGAAGGGATTGGAATATTTAGTGAGTAAGGTAACATCAGGCTTGAATTAAATATTATTTCATTACTTAGTAAGTAATGTTGCATTTGAAACAGAATTGGACAGAATTTGGCATTTACCTCCTGCTCGTCCTCTTCTTCCGCTTCGTCCTCCCTCTGGGTCTCCTTTTCTTCTCCCCCCTCTTCCTCCTCCTCCTCGTCCTCCTCGTCCTCTTCCTCCTCGTCCTCCTCCTCGTCCTCCTCCTCGTCCTCCTCCTCGTCCTCGTCCTCCTCCATGGAGATGAGCTTTTCCTCTTCCTTCATTGGATTTTCCCAGCTTAATGTAGGCTCTGGGCTCTCTGGTTTTTCCACCTGCTCCAGCACCCTATTTGTGACATCCAGCGGCGCCTGAACTTCTCCTTTATCCGCAGAGACAGCTGAGCGACGGTGGCTGAGCGGACTGGATTCCCCTTTGGCCTGCGAGCCCCATCGCTTTGGTTTGACTGAAAAGTCGTCAAACACAACTTGAGTCAGAGGCGGCCTGACGGAGAAGTCGTCGTACGCGACTTTCAGCTGACCCTCTGTGGGCTGATAGGACTTTGCAGCGGGGGAATTTGGGGATTCCGACTTCTGAGGCACATCTTTGGAGTCAAAGAGGATTAAATTTGACTCTGCTGTGTCCGCTGCGCTCCCTATTTCCTCCCTTCCTCTCTCCTCCTCCAGTCTCAACTTTTCCTCCAGGTCTTGTTCTCGCTTTTGATCCACTTCCTGCTGTACTCTCTCCAACTCTTGCACTCTTTCTCTCTCTGCCTGCCTCTTCCTCTCCTCTTCCTCTCTCTTGCTCTCTATTTGCCTCATTCTCTCCAACTCTTCCTCTTTTTCTTGCTGTTCTTCCAGCCTTTGTTGCCTCTCTCTTTCCTTCTCTTTGTCTCTTAATCTTTCTTCCTGCCTCTCCTCTTGCCTCAGTCTCTCCTCGTTCTGTCTCGCCCTCTCCCTGTCCTCATCTGTCTTTCCCTTCAGCGTCAACTCCTTCTCTTCCTCTTCTCTTCTTAACCTCTCTGTCTTTTTCACCCACTCTTTCTCCCACTCCTCCTCCCTTTGTTTCTTTTTGTTAATTTCAGTCTCTCTCAGTTTTCCCTCCATTTGGTAATCCGCATGGTTGCGAACCAAAATCTCCTTCTCCTCTCTTCTCCTCTGTCTTTCTCTTTCCTCGCTCAGTTCTTCCTCTTTTTGTCTCTGCTCCATCGTCTCCAACCCATTCTCTCCTCCCTTCTCCTCTTCTCCCCTCAGTCTCTCTGTCTTTTTCACCCACTCTTTCTCCCACTCCTCCTCTCTTTTTTTCTTTTTGTTAATTTCAGTCTCTCTCAGTTTTCCCTCCATTTGGTAATCCGCATGGTTGCGAACCAAAATCTCCTTCTCCTCTCTTCTCCTCAGTCTTTCCTCTTTCTGTCTCTGCTCCACCAGCTCCACCCCATTCTCTCCTCCCTTCTCCTCTTCTCCCCTCAGTCTCTCTGTCTTTTCCACCTGCTCTTTTTCCCACTCGTCCTCTCGTTTTTTCTCTTCGTTAATCGCCTCCTCGCTAAACTTTTGTTTTTCTCTTTCCTGCCTCAGTCTCTCCTCTTCCCTTTGCGCCTCCTTCAGCCTTTCTTTTTCACTCTCCTCCTGATCGTGTTGAAGTCTCAGCTCTTTCTGCTTTGCCCTCTCTCTTTCCTCTTCTCTCTGTCTCTGCAGCAGCATCTCCATCTGCTTTTCCCTCTCCATCTCTTCCTCTCTCAGCCTTTCCCGTTTCCTCTCCTCTTCTATCAACTGTTCTCTCTCCCATTCCTGCCTCTTCTGTCTCTCTATGCGCTCCTCCTTCAGACTGTCTCTTTTCCTTTCCTCCTCTTTCTTCTGCCTAGCCTTTTCTTCCTCCCTTTCTTCTTCTTTTTCTTCTTCTTTTCGTTTCAGCTCGTCTTCCATCTTGAGTTGTGGCTGATCGTGCTCCTCTGATCGGCGCCTTCTTTCAAATTCCAAATGTTTCAGTCGTCCCTCTTCTTTGTCATCATCATCATCATCATCATCATCTTTCCTCTGAAGACCTCCCACTCGTCTGTAGACGGGCACCGAAACGGGGATCTCCTCCTCAGCTTCGGCCTCAGAAGCCTCTCCTTCTTCGTCGCTGGATTCAGACGCGGAGCCCAGGAACGTCGGCGGCCCGCCGTCGTCTCTCTCCACGACACTAAAGCGGACGGATCGCCGTTTGCCGTTGTCCCTCTTTGGAGCGTGTTCAGCACTCTCTGCAGAGTCTCCCTCATCAGCCACGGTGGGGGTTTTGAATGAGCTACGTTTGCGTAGCTGTACATCAACCTCTGTCGATCGGTTTTGCATACGTTCTACTCTCCAGCTTTCCGGGAACTTATCGTCAGCGGCAGCGTCTTTGTTTGTCTGCATTGGGATGTCGGTGGGTGGTTCAGCAGGGGACACCTTTGAGGGAAGAGGCACGGCCTGGCTGGACGGCGTCCCTGTTACGGGAGGTTCAACAGTTGGTATTTCGGGTGTTTTCACCGCTGTTGGAGCTGTTGCTGGTTGTAATCTGTGGAAGACAGTTCAAGGTTTAATGCCTCGGAGGAATTGTCCACGGAGCGACGGCAGAGCTCGCCGCTGACCTCCCAATACATACGAGCACATTTTACATCTCTCTCCAGACCGTGTGCGCAGTACAAAGCTACAGCCAGCAGCTGGTCAGCAAAGCTTGGCATAAAGACTGTAAACTGGGGAAGCAGCTGGCCCGGCTCTGTCTAAAGTCAAAGCAATCAGCACAGTAGCACCAAAACCTCAGGCATTTACATGCTATATATTTTTGTTATTTTAATCTATGCAAATAAAAATGAGTTCGTCTCAAGGGGAGCTACCTGCTGCACTGTGACTACCTGGAGTCTTATCGTCGCTGTGAGGGTGCCAGGCAACGTGCCAGACTCCATGTGTTCATTTTGAGATGTTCCCCCTGTTTCATAGGGTCTGTGTTATGCTAAGCTAATAAATAAGTTAATCCCAAATACAAAAACAAAACCATTAGTCTTTCACTCGCCTCGTTGTATCTATTCAGACTATTTTTATTTATCAGATTTACGCCTTTAAATCACCCCAGTAGGGTTGGATTTCGTCTGAGGTGCTCGGCGCTCTAAAGGTTACATTTTGATAATCAGTGAACAAACTGTTTAGAGTTTGTATCTGTTTCTTTGGGAGAAAGAGGTTCCAAATGTTGACAGTGAAAACTCTTCACTCAAAAACTCAAACCAGTGAGGACTTGTTGCTGTTGAATCGTTTGAATGTCGTCCTTAATGCTGCAGCACAAATTATATTCACATCTGCTGTTGTTGGAATCATGGCGAGATACTGCAGGGACTGCACATACTCTGTATTTGTATTGTAGGTTGGACATCTAATCGTGATATTCACATTTTGAGCTGGTCTGGTTTGCAAACTTATCAGGACATAAATCTGACCACGTTTTTTATATCGCAAGCTATGTTACTCATTTACCACACTGTTACTGATGTCCAGACAAAGTACAAGTACTGTGTAAGAGACACAAAGGAGAAAAAGACAGTGATGGTGATACAAACAGTTCTACATTTGCAGTCTTCTCTGCATGATTTTTTGACAGAAACTGGGAGAAACATTGCAAAATAGCATTTTTCATTTACTCAAGTTGAAATGTCACCAAATACAAATTTTCACTCACCTCTTTGAGCGACTTCGGGGTGCAACCGGAGGCGGCTTCTCAGCCTTCGGATCGTCAGGGGTCGTTTCTGCGGCCCAGATTTTCATTCTCTCCTTTACACCCTTCACACCTCCCACACTATTTACAGCCTCTGGCTCGTCTCTCTTCGTCATGGGTTCTGGCCTCGACGACGAGTCAAACAGGCGACTGATTCTGCGTTTTATACTGCCTCCTCCACTGTATTCCTCCTTCGGTGCACCTTCGTCAATCTCTCTATCTGAGGGCTTCGGTGTTGTGCGGCCCGGCTCAGGTTCCGGGGCCTCTGGTTCCGAGGCCTCTGGTTTGTTCGCATCACCTTTGGTGCTGGTTGCAGGGATGGTTGGCTGGGGGGGCAGAGACACGCCAACTGACTCAAACTTTGAGGTGAGCTTCACGGACAGCCGCTTCCTGCTGCCGCCCCATCGATTCTCCGCATTGTCTGCAGAAGAAGCGTTGCTTCCCGAATCTGGAATATTTTGGGCGGCAGAAGTCTGAGCCTCGTCTTCTGTCTTTTTTCCGTCTATCTGTGGTGTGTTTACAACATTACTTCGGTCTGCTTGGTTGACATCATCTTTACGGATTGACTCGGACTTGGGTGTCTCTTTTGGTGGAGCGGCTTGTGTGACTGGATCAGATTTTCCTACACCAGAATCGGGAGTGTCCTCTCCATCTGGGCTTGCTTTGCTCTCCCTGGCTGTTTTGGGCAGTTCTTCCGTGAGCACACTCACAGGGCTGGCTTGGGAATCTGAGGCGAGGGTTTTTTGAGGGGGTTTCTGAGCCGGGGGGGAGGCGCGCGGTTTGGCCTTAGATTTATCGGTACGCTGTGTCGTTGTCCTAGAGGCTACACCAGCCGCCTTTGGGGCATTGATGGAGCGAATGGTGGTGTTCTTCTGCAGGGAGAAGGGCTTGGGAGTGAGCAGAGGTTTGGGGGGCACAGATGGCTTGGGGGCACCCATCTGGGACACCTCAAAGGGGCTCTCCATTACTGAGTTGCTGGAGGAGGGGAGCAGAGTAAGTGTTAACATGCAGCAAGACTTCTTGTTTAAAGTGAAAAAATCTTTTCTCCCTACGTAGCCATGTCTTTTCACTCAAAGAGTCTGGTCCGTCTAAACTTTTGAAAGCACAATATCTCTAGCAGGGCAGAGACAAAGGTATCAATCATCCCAAACACAAACCGGACAAACCCTTGAGGACATGTTGTCATTTAACTGTTTGAATGTAATTGCTTCAAATAATTATTCATCTCTTCATCTATTGTACTGTCTATTGAATAGCAGCAGGATAATATCTCAAAACCTGAATGGCGAGATACTGGAGGGTAACTGGAAACAAGTTAAACTGCATATAGTCTTAACTCTGAACTTTTATTGTAGGTGTCCTATTTAAATAGTCAGACTTTGAGGTTGCTTAGTTTGCACTCTTATCTATACCCAGGACATAAATCTGACTACAGTTTCGATATTGTGAGCTAGGTGTGTGTTACTCATTTACCACACTGCTTTTAATGTGCAGACAACGCACTGTAAGTATGGAGGCACAAAGGAGAAAGGACAGAGCTCGCGACACTAACAATTGCAATAAGACAAGGAAACCCTTCCTCTACAAGCAAACTGAAGAAAATGATTCACAATGCAGATAAATGCACAATATTACAAAAATGAATTCCTGAGAAAAAAAATATCGTGAAACAAGAAGGGACATTAAAAGTCTTAAGTGTGGACATTAAAAGACTCTTCATGCATGTGATCACAGTTGAATCTGAAAGCAAAAGTGTAACCCTGCAAGAATCCAACCATAATAAGGACCCTTAAACGTCTTGCTTGATCGTACTTGCAAGAAAAAGTTTGCCTCATTTCTTAAATTATCACCAAACACAGTCAGCACCGTTGAAAAGCTCACTGTACAGGGGCCAACAGAAAGAATTCAACACCAGAAACTAACAAAAGTCTTCCTGCCGGGATCTTTTTTTTTTTCCTCATCAGATAAAGTTTTTAAACAACAACAACAAAGCTGTTTCCGACTAAAGAGGAAAGTATTTCAATGGTTATTTTCTTCCTCATTCCAAAAGAGCCGACCTGTCAATCCGTGACACTGATCATGGTTATGTCCTCAGTGGCTCATCTTTATAGACGATGTCCAAAACCTGACTTAAAGTCCCTGTGTGGTCAAATCAGTCACAATTGAGAAGTAAAACAAAAACATATATCTATACTTGGTCCTTTCAAGATTGTATCTACGAAGTCTATCAAATCAAAATATTGAAAGGTCCATGTGTATCTCGGATAACATCAAGACTTCAAAGTGCAATATGAATGTGATAACGTGATTATGTGATAAGTAAACTTGTTCAAGTAAACTATTCGAAAGTACATTTGGATGGCCATTTTTAAAGCACACGTAACACTGAAATAAGAATCCCAGAGACAGGTAGGACGCATATTGTTGATGAGTCATCATCCCTCACGTCAGTCTGGCCTGAATAAAACGATCCCACAATCTGCAATAGAACTGAAACTCCTGACGCACACACAAGCGTCTGCGCCAGTTTTACCGTCACGTGAGCGAAAAAAAGCTTTCAACTCACACGTCGTGTGAGAAAAGACAGCAGTAACCGATCCGATTTTGTTGCACGACATGCCAAAGGTGCAGTGTGTCATCTGGTTGAACCTGTAATACTTTTGGCTCCACCGGTAACTCCACGCCCCGAAATCGAACACTGTCGGTGTGCGTCGGTCCAACAAAGTCCCTCTGACCGTATCAACCTACAGGTGGTCTCTCGAGTCAGGACTCAGCTGTTTGTTTGTTTGTTTGTTTACCGCACAATGCTCGCTGGATAATAAGTGTGTGAAAGGCTCAGATTGGTATCTTTTAAGCTGTGTCCTGCTTTCTTTTTCCGCTTTCATCTTTTTCTCCCCCCCCCCCCCGCCTTTTTTTTCTTTTCTTCTCCATCTGAATTCCTCAGAATTCATAAACACTGTCCGGCCAAACAAAGGCTGCAGATGATTCACGCTGCTTACATTCTGGCCACCTTCACGGACTGAGTGAAATCCTTCAGCCTGATCCCGCAGCGTGGGACACTTGGCGGTCCTCGGAGAGGACGACGTTTCGGCGCATTAACGCTTCAGCGGCGCGCTTTTATCGTGTGAACTTGTTTCACTCCGGCTTGTTTATAAGTGACTAATAAACGCGTCAGCGCTGAACTCCCAGTCGTTGAACCAGCAGTGTGTTTACTGGAAGTGGACAGACATGAATGTGACTTTACGTTAAATCCAACACACGATATAACGATAGTATTCCGTGAGGTCCACGTTGCTTGTGACGCTCCCCTAAATATTTACGTTACTGTGCTGCGGGAGTCAAATAAATATGCGCACCTGCTTTTAACAGCAACGTATTGAACGTGTGAGCTACTGAGCTGTAAGGTGTATTTACCTTTTGTCGTCACAGAGCCATACAGGTGAAGGACGGGGGGGAAGAAGTTTCAAAAGAAAAACGAGTCTCCTCCGTTTTCCGGGGTCGTCTCGTCTGCTCAGCTCCTGTCAGTGTTTGTGTACGTGTACGTGTGTGTGTGTGTGTGTGTGTGTGTGTGTGTGTTTTTCTTTCTTCAAGTCATTCACACGGGACGTCAGGCTGCTCAGCCGACACTCCCTCTGTCCTCCACGGTGCTCCCAGCCTCAAGCTGCACAGGATTAGACAGGAAGCGGTGGGCCTTTACTTCAAAATAAAGGCACAACATCGCTTACCAAGTGAGGCGGGATGCTGTATGCAGGTTTTCCAGTATGAGGTAGATCCAGTATGATTAAAAGGGGACCACAGAATGAGCACCAAGAAGAATGCCCTAAAATGCATGTGTAAATCATCATTAATACAGCAAAGATAAATGTAAATTATATTAAATCAACGTAATGATGGTTCGAAAGCATCGAAAGCAAAACTCTACATGTGGACAGTGTTACGATATGCCCTTTTATTTTCATAGTTTAGACCGGACGTGTTCCCTAAAATCATTGACGGTTCAAACCAGTAGACTGTTCATGGCTGAACATGGCTGTTCATTCAACAGGTTCTCCCAAATGAGAAGAAAAGCTACTTTAAACAAAGTTGTAAAGGACTTGGAGGCAAGTGAGCGCCGTGCTGAGAGTCCCTGGGGACCTGGGGGCCTCCTCGCAGCAGGGGGTGCCCGTCAACTCTCACGCACTGGGCTAACCTCATTTGCATAACACCTGCACCGTGTTCCATTTAGTAGTTGTGCAGGAAACGTCACACACAAGTCACGTGTTCGCTGCCATTGAGCAAAGGCGAATATAATTTCCTGGCGTGTGTATTTGTATGTGTGCGTGTGAGCGTGCGTGCGTTCGTGTGTGTAATATAACAAATATAACAGTATGTTTTATTTTAGTAATATTTTACACTCATTTATTACTATTATCATCGCTGTTAATGTTGTTAATTGTATGATCATATGTAATTACAGTGGTATGAATAACAGCTGGTGTTAATACTAGTGGGCCTACTAATAAATATGGACCTCCAGGTAGGACAGCTGTCCGGCGCCCCCTGGTGGACGTTTCACGGAACTGCGTCGCACCGCCTACGGCTCACCGGACGAGTTGTCACGGCAACTGTACAGCATGTGCTTACAAAAACAAGCGCTTGACCGTTCACCGACAGTTTTCTCGACAATCTAACGCTGCGACGCCATCTTATTCATCCAGCAGTTGTCAGTGGAGGACACCCGAGACGCTCGTCTCAACCGAGGGGAAGCCCGGAGACAGGCAACCATGAGCGGAGCCGAAGCCCGCAGCGACGCGCCTGTTGCTGAAAATGTCCCCGGTGGCGGACACGTCACCGCGGCTCCTCCGCGGGACCGCAAGCCAGGCGCGGGGCTTCTGAAGAGGCTCAAGTCCCGGAGGAACCAGATGGAGAGCAGGCCCGTGACGGAGGAAGACCTGCAGACACAAAGTGGACACATCACGCCCGAGGACGTGTTTGGACTGCGGGTCGCCGCGCGAGGTTTGAGTCTCCCTTGTTCTCTTGTGTCCGGTCTTGTCCCTCGTTGTGGGTTTACAGATGATGGTGAATGTGCTGCCTGGGCTCAATCCACTACTATCGGAACCTAATGGACCAGAGTCCCACAAACAACACAGGTTACATTAAATCTATACACGTAAAGCTAGAGCGCATGACGCAGGTTCACACCATAAACAATTATTACACTTAATTCTAAAATGTTCAATCATTGAAATAACAGCGTTTTTATTTTCAAGCAGCTTAACGGGGACAGCAAATTTAGTTTCTCTGTAGTTGAACTTTAATCGTGCTGAGACCATATTATGACGTCAAATTGTTAAGAAATGTCCAATGGACTACAAATAACGTCACAGAGGACTACAATGACATCGCAGACACCTCGAGTCTGTGTGGCCTGGATTGAAATGATTGACTAGACGGTAGATCCGAATGTGGTAAAGTTGTTCCACATTGCCAAGGAAAGGAGAGTGTGCCGGTTGAATGTGAAAAGTGTAAATTATCCATCAATGTCCGAAGAAAATCTTTCAAGAAATAGCACTAATAAAAACAACATTGCATTTCCACTTTCAAGCAACACCTGAGTCACCTGAGAGTGTCAACCTAGTCAAGCACAGTGTTTTGCATGTCATCTTTGCAGCATCCCGTGCACACATAATCCACGGGGGCTTGAAAATCATTGTTATGTTTGTTTTTTTAAACTCCTGAATGCTGTCTGTTGTTGTTGCAGGGTACCTCTGTAAACCTCAGGACAATATTTATAACATCGATTTTGTGCGCTTTAAGATCAGGGACCTGGAGACAGGCACGGTCCTGTTTGAGATTGCCAAACCCCCACAAACAGGTAATGTGCGTCCGCCTCCTTCCTTTCCTGTTTTAAATGGAGCTGTTGACAGATGAATGCTTACACTTAAAAAAAGGACACTGCTGACCGCTGCTGATCTTGTTTTCATCTTAAAATAGGGGTTCATAAACGTGCACGGTCATTCTAATCAAAAGTAGTCCTCAGTATGAATTGTTTCAAATGTCTCCGTCCTACGTCGTGTGTCTCAGAGGACAACGAGGACAACGCAGAGGCGGATGCCAGCGCGGGGCGATTCGTACGCTACCAGTTCACCCCGGCCTTTCTGAGGCTGAGGACCGTTGGAGCCACGTGAGTGACTCACACATCCCCAGCACACACCTGAGAACAACACACTCACCTGCCCATTCACCAACAATGGAAACAATTGCACACAGAGCAAGACACTCATTTGTAACATAGCAATTACACGAGAACAGGCCTCTTGTTGGAACAACCTAGTATCCCTTCTCTCTGTATCATTCAATCAGCGTGGAATTCACCGTTGGAAACCGACCTTTAAACAACTTCCGCATGATCGAGAGGCACTACTTCCGAGATCACCTGCTGAAGAGCTTTGACTTTGACTTTGGCTTCTGTATCCCAAACAGCCGCAACACCTGTGAGCATCTCTATGAGTTCCCTCAGCTGTCTGAGAGCCTGGGTGAGTCGTTTTTTCCTGAATAATAGACCATATGGGTAGTGTTTTTAAATGTAGTATTTTGTTTCATGTATTATGTGTACCACGCAAAAGAACAGATCAGTCTTTTTCACTAGCGATATTCCCTTTAAGGAGATTCATGACTCCTAATTAGCTGTGTGTCACAATGGAGCACTTTAACAGATGCAATGCTTAGTTAACAACTGAAGCTCCTCCTTTTGAAGAAGCTGGAGGCAATAGAAACCTCTTCTCCTACGCTTACCATGTGGCAATTTTGTTTAACTGCGGTTTTAAAAACGCAGCTGAATCTACTACGAGACTTCAGGGGTCTGATGTCAAAGAATCAAGAGGGCACATTGCTCTCTGGGGTCCTAGTATATTGCCATGGTCGAGTTCCAGCATCAAAGCCACATGCAACCACCAAGTAATATCTCTCTGCTGCTGGTCAGCAAGGAAACGCTGCCTGGGGAACTTCATCCTAACATATCTGCCTCTGGAGGACCTTCTTGATTAGGCAAGCTTAGACCACTGAAGCCTCACATCAGGTCAGGATGCACACAGACAGGACTGTGGATTTGTCCCCTATTTACGTCTTTTTACAAGGTAGTCACTTTGGGGGGGGGGACGGTTTGCCAAAAAATCGTATAAAACTACCGAAAAAAATACGTTCACATAACGCACATTGGTATTTTATTAATCAGAGACGTACATACATTTGACACTGTCCTTTGATGCTTTCACATAAAAGACAGATAGTACACTTGTGTTGTGTGACAACAACTATGGTGGCCTTCATATTTGCTAGTACATCATTTTCATTATTAACTGGTTTTGTGACTTATTGTGACATTATTGTCATTATGGAGGGACGAAAGGGGTACTTGTAATGCCATGAGGGCCCCAATATGAAGCAGAGCAAAGAATTTGAGATATTCTAATAATAAATCCTTCAATGCTATTGACCCAATCGTTTCACACTGTTCTATGATCACTTCTACTTGCTTGGGTATTGAAACCAAAACCTTCATGCACATGTTGTCTGTTTTTCAGTCCGTCAGATGGTGGAGTGTCCTTATGAGACGCGGTCAGACAGCTTCTATTTCGTGGAGAACAGACTGGTCATGCACAACAAGGCGGACTATGCTTATAATGGAGGACATGGATATACAACACATGCACACACATGAGCATGTGCATGCACACACGTTCTCACATTCATTGACTTGCATATATATTATATACATACTTGCATGCATATAGTCATATTTCGCTGATCAGTTCCTGCTCTGACATACAAACAGTAAGCTTTTATTAGAAAAAGGTTCATGTGTCTGTTTTTAATTATGAACAGTTCTATTTTCAACCACAAGAGGACGCATCGCTCCAGGGGCCACGTGAAGTCTCTAACAGACCAAATGGTTATTAGATAGATGGTTATCTCCCCTCTTAGCCATTTTAAAAGTGTCCTATCGTCCCCTCAACACACACGCACACTCAATCCCCAAGTGACGCGCATATTGTTCACGCAGTGTTTGTCAGAAGCAGCTGTTCTCAGAGCTACCGCCTCCACAATCCACTCCAGATAACACCGGGGGAGAAAGAGCGAAAGCATCCACAGAAACACTGCTGTCAAAAACACATGGGCACTCCAGCCATTCCCCTCCCCGTCTACCTGCCCCCCCCCCCAGCTTTCACACGCACGCACCACACACACATCAACAACAGTACTGTATACGATTTTGATCAAAGGTCTCTGACATCATTGTTTTTTGCAACACAAATCAGGTAACGGTTAACTGCAATGTGATTGTGACCTCTGACAGAAACCAAACACAAGGAGATATCCCCACGTTATTAATGTAGCGGCAATCTTAACTACAGGGAATATCATGCAGAAAATACTCATGAGTTCTGACACCACGATGCATGTGACGATATTAACCAACAAAAAGGGAAATGGTTTGTGAGAAATTAAATACTGAATAACAGATATACTGCGGAAAAAGTTTACGTGGTTGGGCATCACATCACATGTTGATTTTCCCCCCAAGTTGGAATCCGTCTGGAATTTGAGTGGTATTTCTAGCTACAGTAAATAGTGTACTTCCTCTTTGTACTTTGTAAACGTTGTTCAGGGTAAAAGGTGCTGTTTGTATATACATACACACATATATATATATATATATATATATATATGGTTTGTAAAAAGTGCTTGAAGAAGAATAAATGTACATTTTCAGATATAAGATGTGTGATGTGTTTCTTTCTGGGGAGGAGAAAGATGCAGGAAGTGGAGCTGATTTTTGGTAGTTTTAGAAGTCCCAGGAAGTGGCCACTAGGAGGAGTTTTGTTTTAATAACTAAGTTATAACTGATTTCAGTTAAGTTTCATGTTGGATTGTAGGAAAAGATCACAGCACGGACTCTCATCCTTCCATGGGAACATGATGCCATTTCTATCTATTTGCTTAAAGCTCCCTATGAGGTCATGACCCCTTTATATTCCTCTATGGCTGTGGTTTCATTGCAGAGGGCACACAGCACTGATAATATAATTTTAATTCCACAAAACGACTCCGTCTACAAGCCTCGTGTTACAATCTGAATAGCTCGCAATGCATTCTGAAATTTGTGGGGGCTTGTTACACTTTGATCACCCATTTCTGGAGTGTTGTGGGATTTAAACCAAAATCTGTGCCGCTCTCATGTTTTTTCTATCTCGGCCTGTTTCTTCTTATCTGTTTGTTCTTTGCTTGATCTCTCTCAGCTTCCCTCAGCTTCCGGCTGTAATGCCCAAAATCTAATTGTCTTTTCTCCCTTGTCTTTTTCGGTGTCTCTCTCCACACCTATGTAGCTCTCCCTCCCTCGCTCTCCCGCTCTGTTTTTCCCTTTTCTTTCCTCCTCTCTCACCTGGTAACCAGACCTCTGGAGAGGAGTGTTGAGTTTCCACTTTCCCAGAGAAGAGGACAATCTGAGCCACACAAAGACCCACAATGGACCTCCTCTGCTCTCGCCTCCCTTGACTCTGTCACTGCACAGCTGCACACACACAGACACACACTGCTTGTTATTGCTGTTAACCTCCTCAGTCTGTTGATTTGACGTTCCTTTTTATGACGCTCTCCTTCATCTTTTCTCCGACTAAACCCTCCGTGTGTAGCTCTCCTTTAACACGTTTAGCTGTGTGCACTCAAATAGTATCTGTTGTAGCCCTTCTCCTCTCCGTTATACCCGTAACAAAGCTGAAATGGTCCGATTTAATTTTAAATTGATGTTTGTCATCTATCCAAAACCTTGCACACTTATAAAACTGCTAATGGCCTCGTGAGTCTGCAATAAACTTCATCAACCTCGCTTCTGCCGCTGCTGTGAAGCCATTTAAACTGGACGTGGTACAATTACATTTCTTTCTTAACAGCAGTAATAACTGATTTCGTTTTGGATGCCCTGGCGCAGTACAATTTAGCGGTAAACAGAACACTGACATATTAACGCTCATAAGGCAAATTACTTAGCCTGATAGCAAACAGTTGCCTAGTTACACATCCAGGCCCATCAGATACGTAGCAACATCAGCAGCCATGTGGAGCCTAGTTTTTGATAACCAAACGAGTGCAAGTCCAATACTTTTGTTTTTGCTTTGCACCAACTTATATTAGTGTATTAAAAACATATATCCCCCACGTTGTTCACTAACTTTATCTGCCACTCTTTTGCTAGGCAGGTAGCAGAGGCTTTTCATTTAAAAAATGGACTCCTGCAATGGAAAATGACGCTGGTGAGAGCGGTGAGACAGTGAACAAGGCAAAGACCAGAACAATGAGCTGCAATGTCCTAAAATGTTTGATAGGCCTCCTGCAGAGACGGGTGAAAATGCCCTGAGTCTGTTTGTGGCTTTGAGTAATTCTGTTAACGTTACACACATCAATTTGATCCACCGTTTATAAGAAAATATGGATCTGGACAGATTTAACGGGGACATGGGCAACTTTAGAAACACGTAACATAGAGAGGCTTAATACCTCAAAGCTAAACCCAACTAATCTCACGAATCACCACCGCTAGCTTCAAACAGCCCATGGATTGATGCTTGCACCCACAGGTTTATGCATCACACGTCTTTTCCTCCAAACCTGAACTGTCCCTTTAAAAAAACATGAAAAATAATGGTGTGAAGCTGTAATGTGTCAGTCGCTGATTAGACTACAGAGCAGGGCGCAATTTAACTGTGAGCTCATAAATCAATGATCACAGCCTTCCATCAGGCTGGAGGGCCTGCACACTGCAGCACGCAAGTGAAACAGCTGTACTGCACTGGGCCACGTGTTGGTATCATCCAAAAAGTGTTTACTTAATGTTTAGCATATGCACGCGCACACCCGGAGCAGTTAATACACACACACACACACACACACACACACACACACACACACACACACACACACACACACACACACACACACACACACACACACACACACACACACACACATGTTGCAACTCCCCAGGGATGATTAACAGTTCCTAGGCCTTGGTGGAATAGCACCAGTCTTTCAGCACAGGAAACAACCGGACAGGTGGGATAAACCAACCTCACTCACCCTTTCCCCTTCACATGCACGCACGCACACACGCACTCTCACACGGACACACACACCTATCTTTGAAACTGGATCCCATATTTCCTTTTCATTGAATCATACCACTTGAGATTAGTGTGAGAAGCACTGGTTTATTGAGGGTACCCTGAAACACACACACACAAACACACACACACAGATCAGGTCAGGAATAGGGGACGGGGGGGACAGTGGTCTCCTATAAATAGTCGTGAGGAATGGCGTTGATGGGTCCTGTGAAAAGAAATGGAGGGGGGAGTGGAAAAAGGATTAAAAGAGACACAGGGACGCTCTGCAACGCTGCCGGTTCATGCGTGTCTGTGTGTGTGTGTGTGTGTGTGTGTGAGTTACTTCTGGTAGAGGTGGTATGGATTTCTTGCTAAAAACAAAACTCTCTCACACTCTTGCACCCCCCCCCTTAAAAACCCCACTATTCATTCACTCTCTGTGTTACATACTCACGCTTCCTCATCCTCTCTTTCTTTCTGTCTCACTCTTCACTTCTTTTTTAAAATATCTCCTGCGTCCTGCTCCACGGCCCCCGGCGTGAAATCCATCATGTCTTAACACTACACGCGGCACATCTTGCAATAAAGAGATGATGAGTCACGGCACTGTCCTCTCTTTCAGGCCGGTACGACGATGGTCTGTATGTCATGATATAATTTCCAGCAATCAGTGACATCATCTCACCCCTGAAAGAGGTCCAGCCAGAGGATGGTTCACGGTAATACAAATTCATTTTAAAAAGTTAAAAAAACAAATCATGGATCATGGTAACCTCCTTCTAAAACACTCAAACTGTCAGTCAAGAGATTACACTTTGTTGAGGTATCAATGATGTGACATTTTTAAATGAACACTGAATGGACGCAGTAATTTAACGTCGTGCCAAGCGGAGCCATGTAGATGTGACAATAGATAACAGATAATGAGATATCTGGGAGTTAATGACGCACTCACTGCACCAGTGATGGATGGACTGATTTTCAACCAACTCTGACTCCCGTTCCAAATTCCACGATGGCAGGAGCCGTATTGACAGTCTGTCTTAAACTGTTGGGTCTCTGCGGATTTGTAACCAGAAGCCTTTTGTGCCACATCTATGCGTGTGCGCGTGTGTGTGCGTTTCCCTGCGTTTATCAGCCCAACCGTCTGTCTGGCGTTACAGTGTAGATCTTGCACTCACGCAGTCCACACACATAAATAGTCCTGTGTCATCAGGGTAAATAGGTTGTGGTCTGTTTGTTCTCGCAGGAAGCCCACAGCCGCCTCTGGAAGCCTTCCTTCCAGCACCGCCAGTCCAGTTTGTTTTTGTGTGCACATACGATTAATAAAAGGTTAAGGCAACCTTCAGTCAACTGTTGGAGGGACCTGTAAATCTCCCCCACAATCTCTTCCTTCCTCTCCCTTTCTCTCCTCCCTTTGTCTCTCTCCCTTTGCCACACCTTTCCCTGGGGGGTGGAGGGATTGTGATCAGGGGGAACGGAAGTGAGGCTCCTGGCGCAGCCACAGGTGTGTGCCTGTTTCCTCCCTTCTCCTCTCTCATGTAATGATTTCTTTGGCTCGCCACCTGCCAGGTGGAAAAAACACCCACAGCAAATGGAGTGCTTCCGTTTTAAAAGCCCCTTTTTTTTGTCTTCTTGCTTGGTTTGTCTAGATCCTTTAACAAACATTCCATGTGGATCCCTTTTCATTATCTGCATTTATAGGGAGCAGTCTTCCTGGAGCTACTTGTTGCTTGTTCATATTTTGCATGACATGCAAATGATGGCTTTTCGTTCTCAAAACTGCTGCAAAGCTTACAGCGGCTTACAGCTGCATGCTTCTCGCTTTTTCAATGGTCAAAAGCTGCCTTTCGAACTCTTTTCTTCCGAGATGCTCTACTCAACTCTCTTTCAAATGGCCTCGAGGGTGGTGGGGAGCAGGTCCCAGGCCCTGGATGGTCAGAGGTCGCCCACAGACAATGTGTTCCCACTGTGGGTCATCGGTGGTCAAGGAAACAAAAGCGGTCAAGACTTGGGTTGGACAAACTATCGCAGTGTTTTAGGGTGGAAGAGTGACAACAGGACAGAGGGAGGGAGACAAGAGAGGAAGGAGTAAAGAGTGCAAAGTGAGCGCAGCAAAAGCCTCTATCACATTCGTACATTTCGCCTTAGAAAAGTGGTTCTCAAACTTTTTCTGTCGGGCCCCATTTTGGAGGAATAAAAATGTTTGGGCCCCAACGAAAATGTAACAAAATAGTCCATGCTGAATTTTTATTGACATAACGACATATTGTGACTCCCTGTGTGCTTTTATTAATAATGGAATAAAGAAAATTTAAGTCACTTTCATGTAAACCAGTTTGCTCCATCAGACAAAAACAAATAAAATGTGCAATCACTTTGTTTGAACAATGCAAATTTGTGTGACGTTTTACAGTGCGGTTCGATCCGTGTTCTCTCCATAGTTTGCATGTTTCAGTGTCCTTGAGCAAGACACTGAAGCCCCAGTGCTTCAAAGCAGCACACTGCTCCTTAATTACTAAGGATGGGTAAAATGCAGCGAATCATTTCCCCATGTGGGATCAATAAAGGATTAGAAATCAAATAATAATTTAAAAAAAAGAAAAAAAGTAAAACAATC